GCATTTCTGGATCCTCATTTTGCTTATTCATATTCATGTGACTTTCAACAAAGTCAGATCAGTCGACAAACTAATAAGTTATTTTGGATTTGCAATGCATGCCTTTTGTACAGTATTTCCTGGGAGGAGCACTTGCTTTGTGTGCTCCTGTGGATGCCTATGGCTTTGACCTCTTAATATATTCCTCACTCTCTTTCTAGATTCAAAACTAGAATCCACCCTTTCACCACAATTATCTATCTTTGAATCATAGTTGCCTTTGCATGATTTTGTTTTAGTTGAATGTTAGTATTTGGATGACTGTGTTTAATCTAAATAAAAGCCTTTTTTAATGTGTCCATGTTGTTAAAAGTAGTTAGGAGTTCAAAAATAGGCAATACTATTTGTGCCACCACTAGGCATTGTTTGGTTATGAAATCAGTGACATTTGTTTTTTTAAGTCTCATTCCTTTATTGCTTAAGTCTTGGAACAGCTGGGCAAATAACTGCATGTGAACTGAAAAGGGAAAGCTTTTTCAAGGATAGAGGCAGAAAAATCTAAAACATGGGAGCGCTCTATCTGAGATTTCCATTGCAGGGAGTCACATCTATTTAAGAGGTTTAATGAAATGTAGGTGAAATATGGTTAATTTGTCAAGTAACTTTTCAACTTTTAGAAATCTGTCAACTGATCTATTCATCAGTAGGCTTGAGTAAATTCTGAGATTCAGAATATGAATCCCATGAATTTATGGAAGAAATTGTTAAAAATACCAGTCTTCGGTAAAAATGATAAAAATACAGCTTTCCAGCAGGAGAGTAAAATACAGTAAAATAGAACAAAATAGTAAGAAATAGAAATTAAAAAGCTAATTAAGGATGAGAGCATATACACCAAAGACAAATTCCTTGTTTGCTCAATTACTCATGGCCAATAAAGTATATTCTATTCTATTCTATTCTGTTCTATTATACTCTACTCTACTCTATTGAGTGAGCTCTTTTCAACAGATGCTACTTGTTATGCCATAGTGAAATTTTCTAGACAATAGATTATTCATCTGGGTAATGTTCCTGGTAAGAAAAGTCCATGTTAGTATTTCTCAAACTTCGCAACTTTAAGATATGTGGACTTCAATTCCCAGCATGCTGACTGAGGAATTCTGGGAGTTGAAATCCATATATCTTAATGTTGCCAATTGAGAAACATCAGTCTACAAAGATGCATTGTTACCTTTTCTTCATGCTTTTGATTCAAATAAGTAACTTTTTACCAAGGTTTTTAATATAGGCTTGTAGCAGTTTAGTTATTTTTTTTAAAGAGTTCCATGGCATACAGAGAAAAACTTACTTTTTTAAATCAATCAGTCATAAAAGAGAGATATTTACAGAAACTCTTAAGGGAGATGTTTTCAAGTTCACACAAAGATAAAAAGGGGAGGACAGAAAGTGCATTTCAGATTTCTGTTACCATAGTTATTCTAATAAAAGTAGTTTAGGCTTACGCAGATGTTTCTTGATTCTAATCTTCCTTTTAAGGCTGACTTAAAAGTAGGAATACCTAGTTTCATTTGGTATGATTCTTGAATTTTATTATATATATATTTTTAAAAAGTCAATCACAGATTCTGGCTTGTTTAAAAAACTAAAATCATGATTTTCAGGCACAGTGAAATATAATCTTTACATTTATTTTTCTACAGAAATTCTAGAATTTTGCACAATTTATCTCCAAAGAATAGAAAGGATGGAAAAGAAAAGAAAAAAAACTACCTGATCTGGCCTACCTAAAACTGGACAACCACTAGAGGGCAGCAGAAGGGTGTCCTAAGCTCTATTTTTTTTTTTTTGCTAACATTTAGTCCTCATATCAGTTTTTACAGTTGAGATTTCGAAATATTGAAGAAAGACTATGAAAGTAGTCTGAAAAATACACATTAAAACAATTTGGATATTAATCTTTTGTGTGCAGCCAACATTTTTTATTTTGTTATGTACCCCTTGCCTTCCGTGGATTCTTTTCAGAGTACAGAAACACAGGTTCCATTTCCTCCAAAAGATCTAATGTTAGCAGCAATAAAAATTTATATTAATGTACTATATTCATAACATGTTTCAAAAACTAATACAACAGCAAATCTATTAACTTTGAATGTTATTTCTTTCTTCCAAAAATTAAAATGTTCTTAGTTTCTCAGATTTCTGAATGACTATAATAAGCAGTTAACTAAATTGAAGCAAAATCCCATAATTTCTATGCACTTTGGGGGAAAAAGGGTGATTGAATGTCTAGGATATTTTTTTTTACATCCTGCATGAATCAAAGCTATGGAATTAAAGGGGCTGTGCTGTTCTTTCCACTGAGAATTTTCCTTGGGAAAATATGGGGATTCTGTTTTGTTTAATGTAAAAAGGAAGGGCATGGCAGGGTGTACCATTTCAGATATGATAACTACATTCAAACAGAATGAATTGAAATAAATACAGCTGATAATTTTGTTATCTAGGATTCAGGACTAATTCTAAAAATTAGACATATTTAGCTATATTATGAACTTTGTAAACTGTGAACTGTAAATATTTAGAAGGAAACCCCAGGAGTTAAAATATACATGGTACAAAATATATATTTAAGCACATATGTAGCTGATATCAGGCATATTATTTTTGCAAATTATGAAAGCCTTAAAGGTAAAGATAAAGGTCCCCATCGAACATATGTGCTAGTCACTCCAGACTCTAGGGGGCAGTGTTCATCTCCATTTCAAAGCCGAAGTCCCAGCATTGTCTGTGGTCACGTGGCTGGCATCACTAAACACTGAAGGCGCATGGAATGCTGTTACCTTTCCACCAAGGGGGTTCCTATTTTTCTACTTGCATTTTTAAGTACTTTCGTACTGCTAGGTTGGCAGAAGCTGGGATAGGGAATGGGAGCACACTCTGTTATGCGGAACTAGGGATTCAAACCGCTGACTGCCGACCTTTCGGATCAACAAACTCAGCGTCTTAGCCACCGAGCCACCTCGTCGCTAATATGAAAGCCTTATAGGAATGATAAAAGTAGGATGAAAGTAAATTCTAAATACAGGTAGTTCTCAATTTATGAACACAGTTGAGCCCAAAATTTATGTTGCTTAATGAAAATTTTGTTAAGTGAATTTGTCCCATTTTATGACTTTTCTGTCCACATTTGTTAAGTGAATCACTGCAGTTGTTAAATTAGAAACATGGTTGTTAAGGGAATTGTAGGCTCTCCATTGATTTTGCTTGTCAGAAGGTCACAAAATGATTTCTGAACACTGCAATCATCATAAATATAAGTCATAAATATTGTCAAGTATCCGAATGTAAATCATGTGGCCATGGGAAACTGCAATGGTCATAAGTGTAAAAAATGGTCATAAGTCATTATTTTCAGTGCTGTTGTAACTTCAAATGTTCACTAAACCTGTTGTAAGGCTAGCACTACCTGTATTTTCAGTTTCCAGTTATGTATGGGGTCTTTGAACAAAATATTATCGAAGAGCCTTTTCTTCACAAAAATCTAATAAGATTTCTTTCTATAAATACTTATAAATGTATAAGAGCTGATTATTTTGAATATTACCAAGTAAAAGAAGTCAGTAAAAATCAAATGCTGAAAGTGTGGTAAACTATAAAGTAGCAAAATAATTGTTGAAAAAGTAAAGCCTACTGAGAATAATACTGAGAAAAGTTAAAGTAAAGCAAATCTCTTAAAATTTGATAGTTTTATTATATCAGGTAATATCAGATTTAGGCTGCAAAAACCCATGTAAACTCCAGCAGGCAATAAAGAATTAGTTCCCTGCAACTATTTTGCTTCTACGCTGATCTACAAATTTTTGGAAATTATCAACCTCCAAGATAAAATGTGTTAATTTTACATATTTTGATTAGATGAATTAGAAAACAGGTGATAAAAGTGCTGGTTCGCTAAAGTTTTCAAGATAAAGATTTATACACAGGGAAGTACAAGGGAGGGAGATGTCTAATAATCATGGTGCCTTGTAATGTCTTGACAAAATACAGTAGAACAATGAAAATGGTACCACATGGAAGTGTATAAATTTATCTTCACTTTGAGAACAACAAGGCAGTTGACTATGAAAAACATGTGGAAAATTTGCTTAAGTCCTATTAAGCAATTGGTGCAAATATGTCACTGAAAATTCACTTCTTACTCTCACATTTAGACTATTTCCCTTGGAATTGTGGACACTGAGTGATGAGCATGGGGAGAGATTCACTAGGATACCAAAGGAAATGGAGAAAAGATACCAATGATATCCACCATGATACCAAAGGAAATGGAGTCTGTCCATGCTCACCATTCCTGTTGGAATCTCCCCAGGGATGATCCTACTGCAGTACATAGAAGAAAAGCCAAAAAGCGCAGTTTAGATACTGAATAAAGATGGAACCTTGTCATTTAATCTGATGTTAGAGATTGTCAGTTTTTCATGCAAAAAGCAAGAAAATATTACATGAAAAACCAATAAATGAATGGAAAGTTGTTATTGGTATCAATAAAAAGATAAATTTATAATGATTGGTGTGGCACCATTCTCATTGCTATATTACATTTTGCAGAAAAGTTATGGAGCATAGTTACACATCCTGTTCATAATTTTGAATTATTTTGATGCAATTTTGACCTGAAACTTAATCTTGGAAATTGGAGCCAATTAATACTCAGGAGTTAATTTTCCTTTATTAGTAACCCAATTCTGGTAAAAAATAACCAACTTTTATTTCCGATTAATCAACTTTTTTTCTCCTTGTAGACCAGTGCTATCTACTAATAGTACTAATCTTTGTCTCAATTACACTGCCAAAATCTTACTGAAATATTCAAGATGATGCCTATCATGTTCTCTTCTCAAATGTTGCATTTTACTCTTGTCCTCAACAAACAATTGTAGAGCTCTTCATTACTTTTACATATTACATTTATCCATTCATTATTTAGCTTTGTTTTGGTTTTTTATATGTCCTTCTAGATCTATGGTGGATATGATTCATCAACACCTAAGCTGGCTCAAGTTCGCACTTCAAGATCATCACAGAGTCCTTTGCATATCTCTAGCACTGGTAATGCAATTACAGTCAGCTTCAAAACAAGTGGGAGAATGAACAGAAAAGAATGCAATGCCAGTTGGCAAGAAATAGCTGGAGGTAAGAATGTGCATGATGATTTGATGGGTGATGCATTCTGAAGTTGTAAAACAGAATTCTGTCTGCCTTGCATCTCCCTATCTAACTCTGGCTGTCTGTCTGTCTGTCTATATTTATCTATCTAACTCTATCATCTGTCTGTCTGCCTGTCTTTCTATCGATCTATCTTCTACCCATCTTAATGTTTCTCAGTTTAAAGTTGAAATTTGTGTATTTCAACTTCTAGAATTCCCCAGCCACACGTTAAAGTTGCCAAGTTTGAAAAACACATTGATTATTTATTTATTATTATTTATTTATTCCATCCATTTCACTATCAAGAGAGTCTGGGCTACAAATATAGGCAGAATTTTTTTTACAATTTTTGTTTATGTGCTTATACTGTACCAAATTCCAAGGAATTGTTTTAGTAATCTTCTTTTTATTATTGAACAGAAATATTACAGAATTAGAATTGGGTGACTACAAATCCATGACCCTCTCTGGTCCTGAAACCTCTGGAGAGCGAAAAACCACCAAATGCACAAACCAGAATTTCAGGATTGGGCTTCCGATTTGCACGTTGGGCTGTTTTTCACATTCTGGAGGCTTCATGGAAGACTCCTGAAGGCTCCAGAGGGCGAAAAATGGCCCTAAGGACAAACCGGAAGTCACCATTCCTGAACCTCTAGGTTGCTCGTACGGCTGTTTTTCGCCCTCCGGGGAGTGCTGGTCACATACACATGTACATTGGTGTCACATGGATAGCATTATGGATGTGGCATGCCTACGCATGACCCTGCTGCACTTCCCCCACTTTTGGCACATGATCCAAAAAAGGTTAGCCATCACTGCTCTAGTGGCTATGTGATGATTCTATTAAAAATAATTTATATTTCAACATGATAATAATATCCTGTTTGTGGACTATGATATATAGTATCTAAAGGACACATGCAAATTATTAAGTAATGAACTAGCATTTATCATGCCTCATCCTATGATACCAAGAGGTTCATTTACCAAATGGCTTCCAGCACTTGCAGATTATTTTTTTCCACTTAGTACCAACATTAAGAAATTTTGCTAAAATTAGGGTGGCCAGCTTTTTCTAGCCCTGATGAGGCTGACTAGGGTCCTCAGTTTTAAGTTTAGCAATAGCAATAACTAAAATGCTAATTCAGCCCAATGCCTTCAAAAACTAAGATGTGATTTTTATCATTTGTTGTTAGGATGGGAAACAAAAGTTGGTACTTCTATTTGTCTAAACCATAGCAATTTTTTAAAAGATAGAATGTTTTGTCCATAGTCATAGCCTGGTTGAAGTTTATCTGCATTTTTAAGGTAAAATAGATGCTTCAGCTACCATTGTAAGTCAAAACTCGATAGACTGTTTTATGGCTTTAGGTTTATTATATAATAAACTGATAAAGATGAACCAGAATTAGAATCATCCCCTTATTTAGCTTACTCTGATGAAGTTGCACTATGTCCTGATTCTGAAGGATATGAATGCACATTGCCATCTTCAATCTTCAATCTGCTCCTAGTCCATCCTAATCTTCTCCCCTCCCCTTTTGCTCTACATCAAAGTAGGCTTTTCCAAATTCTGCCAGCACAAGTGGGCCATGTAGTTTGTCTCCTCAACCTCTCATTTTCTTGAAAGTAATATTTCTATTACAATTGGTTTTCTTGTATGAATTGTGGTGGGCACAGTATCTTCCATCCAGTCACTAATTGCCCCTCTTCACAGCTTTTTCACCCTGGGCTGATAGAAAACATGAGGACTATTTTTGCTGTTGTTTTTGACAAATGTATCTTTTTAGGTTTTTTTCTTCTTCTTATCAGATTGATCCAGTGGTGGGTTTCAATTTTTTTTAGAACCTCTTCTGTAGGTGTGGCTTCCTATGTGGGAGTGGCTTTCCAACCATGTGACTGGGTAGGAGTGGCTTGCCAGCCATGTGGCTGAGTGGGAGTGGCTTGGCAGTCATGTGACTGGGTGGACATGGCCAACTTGTAAAATGTGGTGAAACTCACTTAACACTCCTGTTTAGCAACTAAAATCTTGGCTCAGAAACTCTGGCATTTGAAGCACGCAAATCTTAAAGCTGTCAAGTTACAAGACCCTTGCACCCCTAACCCTTTAGAAAAAAAAGCCAAGGGTGTTCAAACTTGACAGCTTTAAGACTTGTGGACTTCAACTCCCAGAATTCCTCCTCTCCTTCTTCATCTTGATGATGTGCGGACAGGTGAGGGGAAGGAGCTGGAACTGTTCTAAACGGCACCGTAGATTTGTGGAACTTCTTCTATAGAAGAGGTTAGAACTGGCAGGAATCCACCCCTGGATCGATCCCATGGAAATTACCTAGAAGTAGAGAAATGATAGAGGGCAGGAGCTTGGTGAAGGCCAGATGAGGCTTAGGAAAGACTGCAAGAAGGAAACAAAAAAAATGGAGGAGGAAAGGTCAGGTAGGGGAAAACAAGCAATCAAATCTCAAAATCTTTTGCTGACTATCATAAATATGATGTAGTAAATACGAATTCCCCAGCTGTCTCCAAGTGCAAATATGCCTCCCTGTTTCCTGGCCTAGGATTCTCTAATTATTTGGCTTGTTGAAGTTCTCCTAATTGGGCTTACATAGCTTAGTATTTGGAAGAGGTGACAGAGAAGAAGAGCTGGAATGAAGCTGACAACAATTTTGCCAGTTTACTCTAATAACTCAAGTGGTAACAAGAACAGTGAACGAATGATGTTTTCACACGCTGCCAGTTCGCCAATGGATTGGTGAAACCTAGACATAAGTAAGCAATATCTGCAGTAAGCATAGAGTTAGAATCAACAGTCTAGTGCAGTGTTTTTCAACCTTTTTGGTGCAAAGGCACACTTTTTTCATGAAAAAAATCACGAGGCACACCACCATTAGAAAATGTTAAAAAAA